TTTCGGTTTACACCAATTTTTTAAAAATAATTTAAATAGAAAAAAAAACCCATCATTAATCTATCATATATCTATAATAATGGTAAGATATTGAATTTTTAGTTTATTTTCCTTATTTTAAAACTTTAAAAAATAAAAAATATATTTTTTGGTTTTCAATGTTAGGCAGATCCAAAAATTAAAAAAAAATTGAATAAAAAATCTAAAAAAATTCCGTCTGTTTTTTTTTTTTTAATAAAATTGAGTTAAAAACTAAATTAAAATTTATATTTTGATTTGATTCAATCTTTTTTTCTATTTAAATCAAATAATACTCACCTTTAATGTCACTAGTTTAGCCTGCGCCTTTTTTGTGGCAAACAAAATATTGATTTTTTGGTCATATTTCCTTTTTTTAGAGAAATATTAAAATTAATTGAATTAAAGCATATTATCAATAAAAGATTGACTGAAAAAATGCATGTTGGTTTTAGCTACAGAGATTGTATTGATCCGATTAATATCTAAGCAGTAGAAAGCCAAAACTTAATGTTTGGATCATTGGATGGAAGAAGGGTGAGGAATTTATTTAATGCTGAAATCAAATTGTTTGTACTAATACTTACCATTAAAATAAATCTAATTTTGTAATAAAAACATAAAAAGGAAAAAAGAGATAAAACAATTTGACTCTTTGAATAGTACTACCGTGTTGTACAATTTTTTTTACCCTCCTGTATCTTCCATTGAATCTTCAAAGGCCAAAAGGGTATCACTCTTATAGTGTAATGTTTTACATATAACCGTTCATACAAATATTTGTGATCATTTTGTTTTCCACACAAGACTAATTATTTATCATTAATGGGACCTATATGTTACCACTTATTGTTTATTTGTCATTTTTTTTGGCAGGATAAAAGTATTTTCAAATCAATTTGGAGTAAATTATAAATTAGTCCCTCTCAATTAGTCTCTATTGTTTCAAAAACTAATCATTTAGCTCCCATGTTTTGAAATCTACTTGTAATTTAGGTTTTTTTTTTTTACTTCTTTTTACTTTATTTTGATTTTTTATTTTAAGAAATAGAAAAAAATATAAAAAAAATATGAAAAGATTGATGAGAAAATAAGAGATTTTATGGAATAAAAATAATATTAAATTAAGTATGATCAACACCGATTAAAAGACAAAAGAATAGATTTTTTAATTGAGATGGACTAATTAATTTATTTCTTGAAACTAAAGGGACTAATTTATAATTTATTCAATCGATTTGCACATCAATCAAAATTAATTTTCTTTCTAACCATCTTAAGGATGCACTCTTTATATCGTCACATGTATCAAATATAATATATGTTATTAATTATAAATTAAGACCAAATAATAAAACAACATGGTTGTGACAATTAACTAGTTATTTTCTTTTTTCAATTTATCACTCACTCACATAGAAACATATGATCAACACATTAATTTGTAGGTCTATTTAGATCAATACACAAAGCCTTATCAAAACTTTGTAGTCGTTGGTCATAATAGCATACATTAAATTAAAAACATTTTTTGTATATAAATTCATATTTAGTAGGTTATAAAAAACTTATATAACCATTTTTCTATTTAAAAAAGTATAATAATGATATTAATAATTTTGAAAAATTAATTTCTATAATAAATATTATATTTATTAAAATAATCCAACAATCCCCACTTATTTTTATAAAAAATAATTTCAATATACTATTTGGATAAAGATAAAATGTTATGCATAATGAGGATGGAGACAGTTTGAATTCTCACTTAGTGTTTCAATAAATTTACTCCACAGTCAATATTAAGCATTGTCTTGAACTAAGACTCGTTTAGGTCACAAGCAAAGCATCACATACATAGCACCCAAGTATTGTGCAACGAGCTTATAAGCCAGCACATTGCAACTTTATACTAGATTTCGACTTCTATAAATCTTGTAGAGAATTAACCTAATTCTCATAAGAAGCACCCCACTTCTTCAATCATACAAGGGAGTTTAATAAGGATATTCTCGTAACTCTATATCTTATTCATTAAGAGTTTTTTTTTTTTTTTTTAGAAAAAATTGATTTTAAATATGTTACAAGATGCATGCACTACAACATATGGATGGACATATGAGTATTATAACTTAAATAAATTATGCACATAATCAAACCACGCTATGCTCATTCTTGTTTTTAAAAATTAGTTCTCACGATCTTTAATTATTAGATAGAGTATCCACATAGATGATTTTATTTTTTATAAACTTAGTTTAATCTTCCTTGATATATCATCAAATCCTTTAACTTTAATTAAAAATTTAATCTCATAATATTCAATATATATATACTCAAAATATTAGGTAATAAGCACTTCATTAATTCATTAGTGCTAAGACAAGTGATAGGAAATCTTTTACTTTTTTCTTTTTCTTTATAGATAACATAATGTCCTCTTGCTTATTCATTGACATAAGCTTTTAGCCAATTTAACTTCCATACACATATATAAGCCAATAGTAAATATAATAATTATTAATGTTTTAATATATATTAAAAACATCATCATCGTCATGTTAAAGTATGATGACATTATTATATTTATTTTTTAAAAAATATAATTTTTTTAATAAAATAAAATCAAAATAAATATAGATATTTTCAATTTTTAGTTTTTCGTATAAATTTGATATCATTGTATCTCATTTATACAATAGAAATGTCAATACTTAGTTAGAAATTTAAATTTCTCAAGTTATAACTAATTGTTTTATTAGACAATACCATCAAAACATCATTGTGCTTTAATTGTATAGCAAGAGTGTAATAATCCCATCAATACTCTTATTGACGTATTTGTCAAATATTTTTATAAGTATTTTAATAATTTTTATACAATAGTAATGTTTTCACAAATATCTTCAATAGCATCACATTAATAATTAACAAGAAAATAAATAAACAAATTCAAAAATATCATGGGAGAATTGTGATAATAGACTTGAATTACACAATATTATTTTTTTAATCAAAATTTTAACGTAATAACATCTTTATGCGCCTACAATTTACATAATTAATACTTTTCTTGCTACCACTCGTAGAGAAAATCATGTCATTAATTTATTCTATTATTTTAACAATAACATTTATAATTTATTTATTGTGCCCTAATATATTTTAATTCTTTTCAAAATAAAATTTCATTAGAATAAGATAATATATCAAAATTTTATTTTTATATGAAAAAATAATAAATAAAAAGCCCTTGACCAAAGCTTGTACCTTGCCAGTTTATCTTACCAATAATATGCTATAATTGCTTATGTAGCCACAAATGCATATAGGTATTGATATCAAACATAAATTGAATAGAAGTAAAAAAAAAAAAAAGAAGAAAATTTAATCTTAATTATATGCATTCAAATTAATATATATCTTGCAAGTCTTAATAAATCAATCAAGTGAACTAATTAATATTATATAAATTGTAAACACGTATATATTTTTTATTTTGTGCCCTTAAATTAACATCATATGAAAGCATGATAGATAAATGTGATAAAGAAATTACTTATACTTGAAAACAAAAGGTGTATCTTCATCATACTAGTCATTTAATTCCTTCTCCTAGATTATCTAATAGCCAAGTTAATCGACATCAAAGACATCCTTAAATGTGATGGCAAAAAACATTATCATTTCTAGACTATCAAGTACCGACCTTAACTGTATGACTTCATTCTTACCATCAGCTTTCTCTACTCTCAAAATGTTCACTACCATAACATGAGATGATTGGCTCAAACTTAGGTCTTTGATGTATAATCAACAATGTATAAAGACTTCTTTGATTTCTTTTCTTCTCTTTCTTCCCTTAAGGTGCCTAGTGCTAGCATGATCTGTATCTCTTGATGAAACTTATAACAATCATCAATATCGTGTTCATTCTCTTTATGGAACTTGCAGAAGGACTTGACAAGAATAAAAGATTGAGACTTGATTGGTTTCTTGTTAACATTGATAATAGATAACATGTCAAACAAATATGATATGAAAATTTCAAAACTGTCTTTTTATTGTCACACTCAATGTCATCTAATAATAATATATTCATCTCACCTATAACAACATAGTTGAAAAGATGATTAGTGTTCATATTTGGATTACCGTGAAGCATCATAAAATGAAATCAAATATTAAGAAATCAATGAGCAAACATGCTTCTTGAAGGTTAGATAATTTTTGATATTACGAGGAATTATGCTATCTTGATTCTCATAAGAATCATTATAATTATATTACTTAGAAAATAGAGGTCATCGTAAAGTAGTCGTCAGAAAAATTACTTTTGCTGGTAAAAACTAATTTTTTACACGTTTTATGAAAACACAAATGCTCCCGCAATTACAGTTCTTCTTTTCGAAAAGTTATTTGACTTATTCAGGGGTCCAAAGAACAAAAAAGTTTTAAGACCCCACGATGGAAGGCCACACGATTCACATGCACAGAAGCAGAAGGATCAAATTGGACTGCATATTTTCTTTTCGAACAAAAAGAAAGAAAAATGATAATTAACTCAATAATACAATTCAGTCCCCACGTATCTTCACAGTTACTCAAAAACACCCCCACCAAAGAAAAGTAAAGACTAAAGAGCAGGACCTCCATTTTGAAACTTTTCCAATCATACACCTACCAGGAAGAAAAAAAAAAAAAACCACATCTCTCTCTCGCTCTCTCTCTCTCTCTCTCTCTCAGTCTGCATTTTTGCTTCTTCTCTCAAATGCCGGCCAAAGACAACCGGCATTTTGTCAGATCTATTTGTCTTTCTCTACAAAGCTAGGTTTTCTTTCTTTTTGTAGAGGACCCATTTCTTTAAACTCTTGATTTTGAACTGTATTCAAAAAAATGGTTTTGTAAATTCGAAAAAGAATGCTGCAATCTTAGTACTGTGTCAAAAATTCAGTGTTGAAGCTATCAGAATCTAGTGTAGAATGCAGGGGTCTTCGAGCGCAGTAGCGCAACCAGAGGCCATACTAGAGTGGCTGCAGAAGGAGATGGGGTATAGGCCATTAGGACCGTACAGTGCAACCACAAGCAAATCTCAATTGCCTTCAATTGATGCGATAAGGAAGATTTGTCGTGGTAATATGATACCCATTTGGGGGTTTTTGATAAAGAGAGTGAAATCGGAGAAAACGGTGGAGAATATAAGGAAGAATATATTGGTACATGGTGGTGGTAGTGGTGGGGAGAGTGGTAGTTTGGTAAATGTTGGGAAAGATGAGGGGAGGAGTAAAGGAGGGAGGAGGAAGGAGAAGTTGGGTGGGGAGAGTGGGGGTGGCTCGAGTACTGCGGAGAGTAGAGAGGTGGCATTGCAAGAGAGGGAAATGACGGCGAAAGAGGTTGAGAGGCTGAGGAGTATTGTTAGGAGGCAGAGGAAGGATTTGAGGGCTAGAATGATTGAGGTTTCGAGGGAGGAGGCAGAGAGGAAGCGTATGCTTGATGAACGTGCTAAGAATAGGTTTGTTTGTTTAACATGTTTTTGATGCATAATTTATTTCTTGTTGATTGATTTGGTCAAGAGGTTCATGGCGTGTTTAATTGCTGAGGAATGTGTTATTTGTCTTGTTGGCTTCTAGAGGAGAATGGATAATTTGCTTTTTTTTTTCTCAGATTGTTAGTTCGGGCATGCAAAGATAGATGTGAAATTGGATTTGTATGTTCATTGATTAATTTATGTTTTATTGTTAAGAAACCAAGGGAAAAAGAGGAATGTGCGATTTGGTTCGGATGGTTATTTATTTTATTTTATTTTTGGTTTTGTGAAGAATGCAAGAAATTTTGTTCGTTTATATTGGTCAAAATTAAAGGAAACCTCTCATTTCTAGATACACAGGCAATGTAAAATTTGTGTTGCAAAAATCTATTTTTCAGTTTTGGAAGGAAAATTTGTGTACCTATATTGATGGTTGGGATCAGCTTATTGTTGTTCCTATTGTTCTTTGCACATATTTGGTTGAAGTTTTTTTGTTGCAACTGTAGGATTATTTATACATTATATTCAGTTTCTATGGATTCTGTTGTTCCTCTGAAATTCAAGTATTTCCATCACTTCATTCAATAAATTCTTATGGACAAATTCACTTGGATACATAGCATATGGCCATTTCAATTATATAGGAGTTCCTTGGTAGCAAGTACAAGTCAACATTTTGCTGCTTGCATAAAGACCTTTCCTTTCTGATGATAATAGTTTCATGTGCATTGCGAAACTAGATATTGAACTTTAATTATTTTGGAAAGCTATAGAGGGATATAGAGTCTGACATGATTATATACATTGGACATCTAATGATGCCCTAACTTTAAACCCCTGATCCTCTTAGCAAATACCTTATGATGGGAAAGGACAACTAGGCAGTGACAGTTATTTATTTTGTTTTATCAGGTAACAATTTTAATGAGGGATCCTTTTGACAAGGATGTAATCTATCCCCACCCTTGTGATGTGTCCTATATTAATGTGTGCTCACTTTTGCTGCAGGCACAAGCAGGTCATGCTGGAGGCTTACAACCAGCAATGTGATGAAGCAGCAAAAATATTTGCAGAGTATCATAAACGTCTTCATCAATATGTCGATCAAGCGAGGGATGCTCAAAGGTCAGGCGTTGACAGTTCTCTTGAAGAAGCTAGCAGATTCAGTGCAAACAGTGAGAAGGAATCTGTTTATTCAACTGTTAAGGGCACTAAATCTGCTGATGATGTCATTCTTATTGAAACAACTCGGGAAAGAAATATCCGGAAGGCATGTGAATCTCTTGCAGTTTATATGGTGGAGAGAATACGCAACTCTTTCCCAGCTTATGAAGGAAGTGGTATTCATTTGAATCCTCAATCAGAAGCAGCCAAGTTGGGCATTGATTTTGATGGGGAAATACCTGATGATGTTAGAACTGTTGTTGTGAATTGCCTGAAGAATCCTCCTTATTTACTTCGTGCAATTACTGCATACACTTTACGGCTGAAAACTTTGGTTTCTAGAGAAATTGAAAAAATTGATGTTAGAGCTGATGCAGAACTCTTAAGGTACATTCATATTTTCTGGCCCTTTCATGTTGGTTCCTGCAAGTACAATTTCTGCCCATTATTTTTTCAGATTGTTGGAGAGGCCATTTAACCTGCTTACAACAAATTTTCTTGTTACTTGTAGAATGTTATAATTGCTTGGTTGCGTTAATTCATTTGATCATTCCTGTATTTGATAAATGTGCATTGCTGCATAATTGCTCATGAACTGAATTGGAGTTGAGGCTTGTAATGCATATGATGGAGATAATGCACAATGAATTGCAAGATAGATTTTTGTTGTGGCCATTACACGATGTGTAAAAGTACCTAATGGCAATTGTTTTGTTCTGATAAATTACGTGCTTGCCCTGGTCCCCCCTATGACTAAGGCTGTACTTTCTTTGTCATGTATGTTATGTGTAGCTAGTGTATTGTGAATTGACAAAGGCAGTCATGTAAGCAGTCTGTTTTGGAGTTGTTTCTGTCTGGGCATTGGTGCCATGATATTGTTGTTTGTGTCAGAATATCCACTTGCTGAATCAAAGTGATAAATCGTTGTTTCCTTCAAATTGATGAACCATCAAGCATTATGCTTTCATATTGCATTTACATGCAAAAGACTATGACTTCTGTTATATTTACTGTAATTGATATAGCCAATTTTGGTTATTGTTGTTTCCGAAGTACATGATAGGTAAATTAAAGAATATGTAAAATTGTCTCGTGATTCTTTCATATTAAAATGGATTCTGTTGTTGTTTATTCCTGTAAATGTCAATGATATATAAATTTACAGTTGCTTTGTTGACTTGAATGCTCCTTTTACTAGATTGATAATTTAAATTGGTTGATCAGATACAAATATGAGAACAACAGAGTAATGGATGTCTCTTCTACTGACACAAACTCACCCTTACACCATCAACTCTATGGCAATGGGACGATTGGAACAGACGTGCCTTATAGAGGATCTCAAAATCAGCTTCTTGAAAGACAGGTTATCTTTCTTTATAGATGGTATCTTTTGTATTTGAAGTCTACCTTTTAATTTTCATATAAAGCAATGGCATAAAATAGTTTGATTTTTTTTTTCACAGGTTAAGATATTTTTATTAATGAAATCTGTTTTCTATAAATTCATCCTTTTAATTTAATGTTCTTCTTCTCCTGCTTTTAAGTTATTACGCCAATGTGGTTTTTTAATTTAATGTTCTCCCACTTCCCCTACTTTAAGTTATGATACCAATGTGGTTAAGGTCTATGTTTGACACCCTTTTTTGGTGAAAGGATATATAGTGGGTGCTTTTGCATTTGATTGTTTTGTTTTTGTTATTTCATGCTATTGCTTTTATATCTGCTCTCTGACGTCTGGAGCTGTTCATTTGACATTGTTTTGCATGGTTGTTTTCAGAAAGCCCATGTTCAGCAATTTTTGGCCACTGAAGATGCACTCAATAAAGCTGCAGAGGCTAGGGACTTGTGTCAGAATCTTTTAAAGCGATTGCATGGAACTGGTGATGTGGTTTCTTCCCACTCAAATGGTATTGGAGGCACAGCACAGAACATGGGCGGTCTGAGGCAGTTTGAGGTAACTGATGTCATTGATTTGTGGTTAATAGTTACCAAGGTTCCTTGAACAAAGAAATGTTGGCTTTGCACCATTGCTTTTGATACTAGTCTGTTTTCGGTGCTTGGTTATGGAAGTTTGAGTATGTCATTGAAACAGTTCCGTCACTGTGTCCTACAGAATGTAATTGTTAGATATACTTGGCATGAAAGAGTTTCGGTTTTCAGTTGTACCATATCTAGAACCATTTGGTCTTTCGTGCTCTGAAAATTTTCATGTCTACCACAGTCCTCCTAACAAATGATACCATAGGTCATTCACGCACATGCACTTATTTAATACTTACACTTGACACACAGACAATCCATACTGCTTGAACTAACTCTGTGCAGCATCATAAGTTCAATTATATAGTTTTTCAATGTAATCTTGAGGCACTGACTTCGCAGAAGCTTCAAAAATGATGGTCCATGCTATTGCACTTTAAATTAAACATGCCATAAATTTACATCTGAGACATAGTGCAAGCATCCCATATCTTTTTACTTATTTAATACACATTTAATTCGTTCATCATGATAAAGACACATGTTAAAATTGCATTTGTACTAATCTCCAATATTTTCAATGCAGTTGGAGGTTTGGGCCAAGGAGAGAGAAGCTGCTGGACTGAGGGCAAGCTTGAATACATTGATATCTGAAATCCAACGCTTAAATAAATTGTGTGCAGAGAGGAAAGAGGCTGAAGATTCTTTGAGAAAGAAGTGGAAGAAGATTGAAGAGTTTGATGCACGCAGATCGGAACTTGAAACAATATATAATGCTCTGCTGAAGGTTAACATGGAGGTATTTATTCTTAAATTTTTCAAAGAACTCAAAGCAGTAGTTTATCTGAACATCATATGATTGTAGATATTGTTACTTCATGTGCTAGAATTAACTATGAAGCCTTGTAGGTCAAATGTTTTTTGATGGAGATCACTAACGTGAGTTATGTGTGCATGTGTTGCTTTTGTAGCTAGCTTGACTTGCCCTTTTGTATGCTATAATTCAACCATGCTGATGATTTTAATGTCTCAGCTTTGTATTCTATAATTCAAACATGCTGATGATTTTAATGTCTCAGCCAAAAAGTTTTCTATGTTTCACAATAAATGGGTATGTGTAATGGGGATATGTTACATTTTGTTGTAATGTTTTTGTTGTCTGTGCAAATCGAGAATAGCATAGCTTAACTTGTCCTTTTGTATGCTAAAATTCAACTTTCCGATGAATTTACTGTTTCAGCCAATAAGCAATCCATGTTTCACAAGAAATGGATGTGAGCATGGGCAGACATTACATGCTATATGTATTTCGTTGTTAATTTTTGGATTGATTCCATGCTATATGTTTTAATCATTGTGTTTTCAGCCTATATCAACTTTAAGAAATATGTGTTCATTGGAGAAATGATTACCACTTGTAAATATTTCATTTGCCTCCTAGGATGCGGCTGCGTTCTGGAAACGGCAGCCAGCGGTTGCAAGGGAGTATGCATCAACTACTATCATTCCAGCATGTACAATTGTTGCAGATATTGCGAACAGTGCAAAGGATCTTATCGATAAAGAAGTTAATGCCTTCTCCCTAAGTCCTGATAATAGTCTTTACATGCTTCCTTCAACTCCACAGGTTTGTGAAATTGTAGCAGCATGTTGGTTTTCTGGTATGAAATATTGCAGTAATTTTAGTTGTATATTCATGCTAAAATAAAGTTATTCTTTTATTAAATTCTATCAGGCACTGCTGGAGTCCTTGGGTTCTAATGGTTCTACAGGACCTGAAGTTGTTGCTGCTGCAGAGAAGAATGCTGCTTTATTGACGGCAAGAGCTGGTGCAAGGGATCCATCAGCAATTCCATCCATATGCCGTGTGTCTGCTGCCCTTCAGTATCCTGCTGGTAAGCTCTTAATCGTCTATAGAAGGCTCGAAGCTTGTACTAGGCTATCTTTTTGGAATTTGGATGGGGTGTCAAGTGAGATATCTGAGGTTGGGACTTGGGATATATTCGTTTGTCAGGGTTCCACTTAAAGGATTCCTGTTGTGCTAAAGGGTTTTTGACCTAGTTTCATATGGCAAGTTTGGATGTTTTGCAAACCTCTCTCTTAGAGCTGGATATGTTATAACATGACATAATTGTGCCTTTTCTTTTATAGACTAACATTGACTTTTCAAAGGAAAAAGAAATTCAGAGGATGTTTCTCGCAGAGAATTCTTTATCTTCATCAAAGCTTGGGTTGGCTGCATTCAAGTAAAGATTTGTCATACTAATTAAGCAAAATAATTGTTGAAAGGAAACGATAAATAATACCAGTTGGCATGCATAACAGTCAGCTGTCTTTCGAGCAGTAGTTGTTTAAAATGAACCACTGTTCTTTGATCACTGCGTAATGATGAGTTGAATGTTTATGTGGATTCCGTTTGAGCAGCAGCAATATATTTAGTGTAGTTGAGTGTTTGAGTTGATGACTTCTTCCCATTGGTTGCAATGTGGTCTGTTCTACATGCATTTCTGAGTACCAAGCCTGCTAAAGGTTGCTTTACTCGTTGTTCTCATGCCTGCAAATTTGTTGATTGTAACTTGGTTTTAACTTTGTAAAATAAAAGTAAATTGCAAATGCATTCAGTGACCTGACATCCTAAGCATGTGTTTTTTTTTTTTTTCCTTATGTTCTAAATGACTAGCAATTGACAAATAGGTTTGGAGGGTTCAGATGCCGGTTTGGCATCAGTGTTAGAGTCCCTGGAGTTCTGCTTAAAACTTCGTGGTTCCGAGGCTACTGTGTTGGAGGACTTGGCAAAGGCAATCAATCTGGTCTATATTAGGCACGATCTTGTTGAAAGTGGTCATGCATTGTTGAACCATGCATACCATTCTCAACAAGAATATGAAAGGTACAACTGAAACTCTGCATGTTTGTTTTACTGTGGACTGTAATTATCCAAATGGTCTGCATTTTGAGTAAAGATTTTCTATATCAATGCTGCTGCTTTTCATCTTTATTCACAGCAAAAATTTATTGTAAATTGTGCAGTTGTTGACATGGTACTTCTCTTTTATACTTGGCCTTTGAAAATGATTCCGTTAGTTTCTAGTTTCTACATACTAACTTTCTGTCTTTATGGTAAATGTCTAAACTATTTGAGTCATGAATGTGTTTTGTGCAACATGTGATCTCTCTCTTTCTCTCTCTCTATTAACATGCAAATAATTGGTTAGATCTCATGTGCATGGATTTGGTCTCTTTCAATTTTTCTGGGAAAAGCTAATGGTTATCCTTAAGGCACTTGTTAAGAGATTAATTATGATAATTAATGGTAATTTTAAATGTTTTGACAATTAGACAAGCTTAAGTATCGAAATTTTCATCAAATCAACTTATTACCTAGCTCATGAATTATCTGAAATAAGATATCTTTTTTGATTTAGTAATGTGGTTGGATTTAAAAGTTTTGAAATTTAATATTGTGTAATTATTATTATTAAATTACCAATAATTAATCTCTTAAAGAGTGCCCTAAGGACACCTGTTAGCCAAATCACATTTCTTTTCCTATCCTAACCTGTTTTTTAATATTGTGAGATGCTTCACATTTGTTGATATGTCATGCAGGACAACAAATTTTTGCTTGAATTTGGCCACTGAGCAAGAGAAAATTGTCTCGGAGAAATGGTTACCAGAGCTGAAGGCTGCAGTTTCGAATGCCCAAAAGTGCATGGAAGATTGCAATTACGTGAGAGGTTTGGTGAGTAACTGTAACTGAAATTTTATTGATTTTTTGTTGCATTTCCGTGCATGTTCATGAGAAGAGAGAAAGGTCAGTGAGATTTTGGGTTGGGTTGGGTTGGAAGAAGATAGTTATGTCTTGAATATCCATTTAATCTCATGATTCTTGATTTAAAATTGGAGGGACATTGACTATATTACCGATGTCATTTAAGCAAAACTTGAAGATGTCTGCAAAAGCAGCTCTTCTTTGTATTATGTTGATGTCTGTTGCTGTAGCTGTTGAGGTTGCTAGGCTCTTTTATTTGGTAGTGGGCTAGTGGAATTTTTGAGGTATTTAGTTAGAAAGATATATAGACTCTAATGAAGTTAATTTCTGGAATTTCTAGCTCAAACTTGACCATCGACCTTGTTGGTACAACTTATAAAACATGCTTAGATTGTCTTTCATAGCAGCTTTGGGATGGGATGGAGTGTGGTTTAATTCTTTGGATAATATGCTGTCTTTTTCTGGTCTTTTTTCTTGGCAACATCCACTCTTCAGAAAGCGGAGTCAGTGAGAAAAGGAGAGTCTTGTGTCATTGCATTATGAAAAACACTTGTTGTCATGGCCATTTTGTTTTTTGGCAAATCAAATGTGGAAGGCTAAGGTACCTTCTAAGGCCAAGAAATCTGTTAGTTTGCTGTTTTTAATGGTGGTGATTTGTCAAATGTATGCTTTTAATTGCAGAAGTTTGTCGCCTAGAATCTATAATTGTAATTTTGGTTGTTTCTTTGCTCTGTTCTATATCTAGCTATGAATCCTTGACATTGTTTCTGCAGCTTGATGAGTGGTGGGAGCAACCAGCATCTACTGTTGTTGACTGGGTTACAGTTGATGGACAAAATGTTGCTGCGTGGCATAATCATGTCAAGCAACTTCTTGCATTTTACGATAAAGAGCTCTTGTAAATAAGATCTTTGTGCGCTTTTCCTTTGTTTGGTTGTATTTTTTACCACATTCACGTGAATATGGAAATTTACATTTGGGCCAGTTAGGAGCATGGGATACACTTGGCGATGGGCATGAAGAGATATTCGAGGACAACCTTCAATTTAGTGTGCAGGATGAGGGAGATGGTTGGAGGGATTTGGTATGCAAGATTAGGCATCATCATACGTGAGGGTAGTGATCAGAGATATTCAAGCACCATCAATTGGAATACTAGTGGAAGCATCCTCCATCAGCTTAGACGTAAAAGGGTGCTGGTGATGAGTTTCTGTAACTGCTTTTTGGTTGAGGTATCTCGGCCTTTCTTCTCGCTTTCCCACTAATTTGTACAGAATGGTTAGTGCATTATAGGGCATCTGTCTTTGAGTTTTGAGCCAGTTTACGATCTCACTTGTTTCATGCTTGAATAATGCCATTAAAAAGTGTTGTAACGTCGCAATTTGATGTATTCTAATATAATTAAAAGGAAGCTTTGAGTTTGCAGCCTGTTCTGTTTGATGCATTTGGATGAAGTGGAAAGTTGTTATTTTTTATTTTTATTTTACTGTTTGGCTCTATTAACAACTGGAATTTTTATTTGTTTTTGATTTTGTTGCGTGATTCTTTTCAATGTAAATTGATGGGATCTAATCATTTTTGTTGGTGTTTATTCAATCTATACTAGTAGGATTCTACTTGTGTTACGCTTCGGTCAAACAACCCTATATATATATATATTCAATCAATACTAGTAGGATTCTACTTGGGTTACGTTTCGGTTAAACAATCATTATATATATGGTCAACGATTTGCATGATGTAGCTCGGATAAAAATCTTATTTCTCATAATTGGTGTAAATTAAATTTATTTGTTGAGTAAAATCGTTTGATTTATATATATTTATTAACAAAATAATCAATAATATTAGTATAAAAGTTGTATTTGAATAATTGAAAAGTTTTTTCAAAATATTATTTCAATTATTTTATTTAAAAAATATAGGTTTTAGAACATAAAAAAAAAAAAATTAGTGTTATGTGTGTAGATGTATCATTAATTTTCAACAATATATATATATATATATATATATCATACTTGGTAGATTTAGGGTATATAGTATAAAAAAATAAAAATAAAAATCATTTAAGTTGTATGAAATATATTAAAGTCAATAATTGAAATAAAAACTAATATAAAATTAGTTTTTATAAATTTTACTTCTTAATTTATGATGAAAAAGATTGTTAATTTGCAAGTTTAATTATAAATCAGTTCATCTCGTTTTGAGAAATGAATTAATTAATTTTTTTGGTTTAAAAAATAAATAATTTATTTTTTTATTTTATGAAAATATCTTTTTTTTCTTCATATTTTTTTTTCGTTTTTTCTCTATTTTTTAAAATAAACAATAAAAATATTGATATAGCAAAAGGACAAAAAAAAAAAAATTTTTTTTTTTTAAATTAGTTTTTTTCGTTCTTTCTCTATTTCTCTATTTCTTGTCAAAAGTTCATGCCCATGATCTCTTTAGCCTTTGGTCATACGTTTGAAACTAAATTGGATATTAGATTTCAATTAGACAAGTACTCGATTTTTTTTGTTTTTTTTGTTTTTTTGTTTTTTTGTTTTTTTTTTAATTTGATGGATTGTCCGGCCGGTCCAACTCAGATTTAAGAATAGCATGTCATTGAAAAAGTGGCAAGATTGAGGGGATATTCTAGAAAGACTCAAGAGGTTTTTGTTTTTTATTTCTCATAGAAGCTCTAAAAGCAGATTCTAACATATCTTTATATTTCTAAGAAGCTTTCTACCGCGGGCATTGGAATTAAGAATTAAGAATTTTGAGTTTTATTTCAAAATGGCATGGAAGACTCGGATTAAAAAGGCTCTGTTTTTGTGATATTTTGGAAAATGATCTAAAAATAAATTGAGAAATTCCATCTGACTAATAACAAATTCCGAGAAATGTTTGGGATTAGAAAGCTACGTATGTCTTTAAGGGCGGGTTAAATTGGAACAGAAATTTGTTACAATTTTAGAAGCTGTTCTTCTCTGTCTTCATTTTTGAAGAATTTGTACAACTTTTCTTTTAAGCTTCATATTATCAGATGTTAATTTCAGGTATACAAAAGAGCAAATGTTATCAAGCGCCATTTTCTTTTGGATATGTAACATTTTAGTCCTCCATAATGTTTATATTCCATAATCAACATCAAGCAAAACCTAAGCCTCATACGTGAGGTCATGAATCCCACGCCATGGAAGTTTCTCCCGGCCTTGTGATTGCATCCATACTTCCTATCATTTCCTCTGTCAAGTAATTCTTATGCATCCCCAGCTATACCTTCTCTAGAGAAGAAGCTGTATGGCAATTTGATCCATGTTGGGGATTCATCAGAATGGTTCACCTCATAGTTGCTTAGTCTCTTAAAGCTACAATTCCTCACCGTCTCCTCCACTTTTCATAGTTGCTTCAAAACGACATCCTAAGAATTAGTATTAGAATTGGTATTGACAAGAACAGGATTCGAAGTTTGTCCTAGTTGAGGAAACAGATGGACTTCTAGAGTGGGGATCATAATTATCGAGCTTTTAGCCAAGTTTTTGGACAAGAAGCCAAGATGTATAATTCCCTATATGCAGGGCCGGCTCTATAATATATGTGATTCTAAACAAAATAATATTTTAGAGACTCTTTCTTAAAACAAATAAATAGTAAACATTATTTAAAATTTACTTTTCTTGCTTTCCGAGATGCAAAATCTCTAATTAAATTTTTGTATTCAAGTTTACAAAGTAAATTTTTTTCAATTGATAATATAGCTAAATTACTTAATTCTTCTTGTGACATAGTTGAACGTAAATAAGATTTTATTAATTTTAATTTTGAAAAACTTCTTTCAGTCAAAGTTACAAGTAACAAGGATAGTTAATAGTATTCTATATGCTATCCATGCATTTGGAAAAGAATTTACCTTTTTTTATAAAATTTAGTATGACAAGTGGTGTTTTCATTTCTATAGTTATAATTTCTCTTAAAACTTTTAATTTTGAAAATAAATCTAAACCATCAATATTAGAAAGCATATCGTGCTTTACAAAATTTTCAAGATTTAAACAATTTTTTTTCAAAATATCATCATCGAGTGATTTTAATTTTTCTACACTATAAAGAAAACCAAAATTATCTTCATATATTTTAAATTGTTCAAACCTATTATCTTTCATTTCCACACCCTTCATTTGCTAATTGAATATTTGATTTCAAACTAAATAATTTACAACAATAACAAAACACTTTATCTAACTCTTTTGAATATACCAGCCATTTTCTATCATGTTTTTCTCCATTTGGTAATTTTCGAATGTAATGAATTGTAGAAAAATGTCTAGAGTTTTTATCTCTTGAAAAATCTAAAATTTCTCTAATTGGACCTTTCTCAACTAATAAATCAATTAGTTTTGAGTCTAAATTTTTCCATTGTGCCGGATCGTAAATATTTTTAGTTGTTGTTGCATCTTCATCATTAATATTTTTACTTTTATCGATTGAAACATCATCTTCTAAATTTTCATCATATTCTTCATTACTTTTTGGTGAATTTGAATTGTTATCTTCAAATTTTTCTTCACAATTTTCAACTATATTTTCATTTAAATCTTTATCTTGTTATTCTAGTATTTGAGGTTTAATATTAGTAACAAATCTATCAAGTGCACATTTTTGGGATTGAATTAGTTCTTCTATCTTTCTTTTTTTCTTACGTTTTTCATATCCAGATTCATACTTTTTAGTAGACATTTTATTCAAATAATAAAATTAAAATATAATTATAAAAAATAAGAAATTTTGGCACCTGATTATATTTGCTTGCCACGCCTAATCAAGTAAACCTGGAGAGAATCACTCGAGAAAATAAAAAAAAATTTGAGAAAAAATAAAATATTATATGATTTATATACATAATTTTATTTGCATAAATTAAAAAATTACCTTCATATTTTTCTGCCAAGCTAATTAGAAAAGGTTTTATAAGAGATCCCTCATTGTTTGGAGAAAGAAAGAAATATAATAAAAAATTTAGAGATCTAAAAATTGTTTCACTCACAAATATTTTTTTGAAACTTTTCTGTAAATGAAAATAGAGGCTGCAACTTTTAATTTATCTCATTTTTTTAGGATGTAGGTTTAGGATAAAATTTTAATTGAGACCCTCCTTTCTATAGGGGCTCTAGGCATAAGGTCATAATGGCCTATGCCTTGAGCCGGCCTGCCTGTATGCATGGGGGCTTAAACCAAAAAGCTTTCCATTGATAGAGTAGTTCATCGATCTCCCAACCATTTTATGGCTGACAGGGAGGCTTGGGATACCTTACTTGAGTTGGCTCCCTCCTACAAGGGCTGATAGTTTTTGGTTTTGTTTTTCGCTTTCGGATCATTTGAGGTGGGGGGCTAATTAGTTTGTGACTCCCAGAAGAGTCGAACTAGACTTAAAAGACTAAGCCTCCATTAGTCTAATCCAGGTTGTAGTGGTGGGTGAAATGTTCAATTGAGGAGTAAATTCTTCAGTTCAATTACTAACTTAACATTAGCTTTGTGTATATTCTTTTGCCTAATCATAGAAATTAGACAGAGGGAAAGTTGATTACCTGTAGTTTTTAGTTCCAAAAATGCTGTTTTTTTCCCATTAAATTATCTATTCTCTTTTTTCTTTTCTGTTTATTAAAAGGAAAATTGGAAAAGAACATGAAGTTGCCAAAAGACTAAGTTATAAACAAACTCAAAACATAAAGATTAAATATACATAGATTCGAAAAGTATGAGGACTAATTAATTAGTCTTATTACATTATAAGGACTAAATTATAATTAACTCTAATTTCATAATAGATGAGATGTTAATTGTAGATTATTTATAGGGTGAATTTTTTTTTTTGGGATACGAGTGGTTGAGTTCAGAGAAATTATTATACATATTTGGTTCACTGCCTAAGACAATGGACCAACCCATTAGAATTCTTACATATTACTAAATATGTCCACATCAATTTTTAATAGATACATTATTAATTATTTCATTTAATAATTATGAATGTGTTATTAAATTTAAAAAGATTCACATTCTAAAATAAACAATTTAGATAATATTCTATTGATTTGGTTCATAATTTTAGATAATTGATAAGATCGGTGTAATAATTTCTCATGAGTTTATGAGCATAGACAATAATAAAAAGGGTTGGAAGGGTTTTGGTGGATCAGGGGCCTTGCAGGGCCACCGCCCACAAAATATAAAAAAATCCTCAAAATTTTATGAACATTTCAATGTAAATTATAAATCAGTCCTTTCTTTTTTTTGAAAAATGAATTCATTAGCTCTCTTTGTTTTAAAAATTAATTATTCAATCTTTGGTTAATATTGATGATGCTTAATTTAATATTACTTTATTTCATAAAATATCATATATATATTTTTTTATCAATTCTTTCGTATGCTTATTTTTTTCTACTTTTTAAAATAAAAAATCAAAATAAATTGAAAAAAAGAGTAAATGAGTGAGTTACTAGAAACTCAAAAATATAAGAACAAAATAATTAATTCTTGGAACAAAAGAGATAATTTTTTTTCCTTGAAACTAGCAAGATTAATTTATAATTTACTCGCACATTTCACAAAAGTGCATCTCTTTTTTACATAAAGTCATTCTTTAAAAATTCAAAATGTTACTATTTATTTCATTAATATCCAAATTTTGATTTTAAATAATAATATTTTTATTTAAGAGCACTTGTCACTCCCTTTGAAATATTTTTATAGGTAACTAGTTCAATCTGTTATTATATAATAATTAGTCTTCAATATGTCATTATATTTTTAATTACATCTATTAAATCTCTAAATAATATTTAAGTCTCCAATATGTCATTTAATTTATTTTTCGACAATGGGCAAATCCTTTTTTTTTTCTTAACATTTTAGTCAAGGATATTTTGATAAAAATATTTATTTATGATCGAAAAAATTGATCGAAATGATAGATTGAAGACTAAAACATTATTCATTAACATAATAGAAGCAATTAAAAACATAAAGATATATTGGATACTCAAACTATTATATAAAAACAAATTAAATTGTTTATCCAACTTTTATATACTATACTTGTCGCCCTCCTGTCATAATAAATTCATGACTCCGCCACTATCATTAAAAGTTATGCCTCTCCCACCCTCACTTTGTGTTTATTGTTTGGGTTAGGGAAAATATATTTTTCTCCATTGGATTCAAAGATTCCCACTAATAAAGTTTCTAATAATAATAATAATGATAATAGCAATACTTAATATCATATGCTACAACAAATATTGAAATCATGAATTAGACTTAAAGAAAGGTAAATAGACGTTGATAAAACAAAACACAATTTAATAGACAAATATAAAACTTATAAAGCAAAAATTAATAGGCAAACAAGAGAGTAGGAATGAAAAAAAGGTATACATAACGATATATTCTATTTCGGCTAAGTGTCTAGTCCCTGAACACAACATGGCTTTTTCCAATCCACGACTGCCTTTCTGCTTGCAAGAGCGAGAAAAAACTTTTACAACCTTCACTTTAACGTAAATTCGAGTGCTAATACGATGTCACTCTCACTCTCACATCAGTAATATTTGCATATAAAAATATCCAAATTATTATACTCATCTAAAGAGCAAATCAATCAAACCATGTACAATAACACGGTATATATGATTGCAACCAATCAAGCTCTCAAGGAAGATGCAATGATATTGCAATGTTTTACCTTTGTATTTCTTCTATTTTTTGTCCCTAAAATATGCAAGAATGAAGGTTATTTTATAAGATTTCAAAATACTAATCTTTATCTATTGTAGAATTAGCAATTGTACAAAATCTTATCAAAATGAGTAAAATTATTCCCAAAACATCAATCACTTGGTTCTAGGCTCCCTAGCTCTCTTTTCAATCAGTTCTTGGGATTTTTCTCCAGGCCAAATTTATTTTTCTTAATTTTTTTAATCCAATAAGGTTCATATGTTCTTTATATATACGTGCAATATGCATAATCCTCCTTAAGTTTTTTTTTTTTTTTTTTTTTTTTTTTTTTTAATATGTATAAAAATCATCGTGGTTGATTTCAAACATAACCGTTTTACAACATAATATAAAATCAAACTTTTTTTTTATTGGATAATAGTGCAAAATTAAACTAAGAAAACTTGATTACTCGAATCTTCAATCTTTTTCACTTAGAAAACAATCTTAAAAAATAATTCTTTCTTGTCATAAAAATCATAGTCTCCTTCTATACTTTTAAAATTTATGCTTTCATACTTGAAATGTCCGTGCATAGTAAGTGTGGTCTATAATTGCTTCCACTTAATTTAAACTTATGCTAGACAGAACATTAAATTATTTCAAGCATAATAATTTTAATTGAATTAGTTTGTTAGTTTATCAAAATTAGAGTTAACAACCTTGGTCTAAAATGTATCATATTAAAATAATAAACCTGAGCTATTAGTTAGTTCTAAAATTAGAGGGTTAATGGCCTAACATGTGCTTGAGTTCTTAATCTGTTCTTATATTTTAAAAGAAGCAAATTATATCTTGGTTATTTAAGCAAGTTTTCAATCTATTTTTTTGATAAATTTTCTAGCCAAATCACCTAAAAATGTCACTTCACGTGCAAATATATATATATATTTTTTTGACGAATGCCCCTCATAGCTTAACATGTTAACTTTTTAATTTATCCTTATATAATGAGTTGAGTTTCTAATATGTCCTTAATGCTAAAGAGTCTATTATATTATTTTTAATAATTTTTCTAATAATACATTGCACTATGGTGAAATATTTTTTTAATTGAAAATATATAAAAATAATCAGTACATGTTAGTATGTAATTGTTCAAGGGATTGTCATCTAACATATTTTAAAAGCTAAAGAGTCTACTATATTATTGTCATTATAATAGTTCATTTATGTATACTATTAAACATGTTGATATAATATTTACTAATATATTAAGTCATATCTACAAAAGAAGACATGTGATCTTGTGTAAAAATTACTAAATGATACAAATATCATTTATTAGATTCAAAAATTGCATAATTATAATTTAAATGATTGTTAATTAGTCTCTTAAGCATGTTTTTGTTAAAGTTTTAAACACTTTACTTCTTTTTTTCACTCGTAGTAAATGTCGATTCCTTCTTGACTTTAACTAAACTTTTGATAGACTTTGATAGCTCTATAAACTTTGCTTGTAAAGGATTAGTTGCTTCAAATTTCCTCTTATATTTTTTTTCAGCTTCGGATGAATGGGTTGCATCTTGACTTATAGAAGTTCGCCTCCATTGAGTTTGAATACTTCTCATTTGCATCTCCATCATCCATATTGTTGTTAATTTGGTTGTTTTTTTTATAATTTCTTCTTCTCCAGGATCTCAAGCTTTGTCCAAATAGCCCCGTCTTTTGCATATATTTCAAAAAATTTATCAAAATGGACAAGCGACTTCATGTACAATGTTGGTGCCCCATCACGACTTTACATAATAACATTTGTTAATAAGTTAAAAAAAAAATGTAACATTTAATAATAACTTGAAATAAAGAAGAAAAAATTGCAAACCTCTCTAATCCACTTCATGAGTGACTAACTATATACATAAAAAATGAACTATACCTTTGCCTATCTTACAAATACTAATTTATCTCCTATCACCAAACTTTTTTATTTTTATTTTTTTTATTATCATCATCCCATCCAAATCCACTACCATTTTTTGAATTTTCACTATATAGCCAAATTGTTTTGTAAATATCTTAATGTTTGACTTGATATGCAGTTTGCCTTTAATACCACATCATGGTATTTTTCTTCCATAAGCTTCTCAACATGACTATAATATCCATTTTTATAACCAATATCAACTTTCCAAATGGTGCCAACTAATTCTAAAAGGCTATTTCAATTTCTTTTATTCCTACCCTTTGTTTGAGCGAGTACATGCTATAAATTAACTAGTTTCATTTCTGAATTTTCCATCTAACTACTAAACAATTTACACAAGAAAATATATATGCAAAACAATTAGATACTATCCACACCATATTTGAAATAAACAATATCAATACTAATAATCAAATAATATAATTGTTAATATATTAAGAGATGAAAGCGTAATTAAAAAAAAATATTTCAAATTAACCATACAAAAAAAAAAAAACAATAAGAAAACTATGAATACCGTTGACTTTATCTTCTAACTCTTCATGAATCATACATTTTTCTAACTAGATTATTCCTCCAAGTAGTCCATTGGTTTGTTGTTTTACTATTAGCAATATAATTTGTGTTATTACTATTGTCTTCTACTAAGGTATTTAAAAATTACTCCATTGGCTTAACTCTCACTTCTTGTCCAATGAGATTATGAATATAACTACA